GGCGGCGCATAGGGCAGGTCATTGCTCTTCATGTCTGGCGGTTCACTGCCACCTGTTTTAGGTCCTGTGTGTGCCTTTTCTGATGATGGTTCTACCCAAGGTCTCTCTTGGTCTTCCTCATTTTCTTTTCCCTTGGGGTGTCCATATAGGGGCTTGATGGGGGAGTCTGGTCTTATCCATTCTTAGTGCATGGCCGATGTAGTCCCAGCGGAACCTTCTTACAACATTGGAGAAATTATCTTGCTTGATCTCTTGTCTTATTTGCTTATTGGATCTGAAATCTGTCCAGTGGAGATTTAGTATTCTTCTAAATTGTCAATTTTTTTATTGTTTTGAATCCAGAACTTTTTTAAAGTGACGATACCACATTTTATATTCACAGTACAGTGAGAAAAGAGGAATTAGTACCCAGCACCTGAAGGTAAGGCCTAAGTACAACAGCGTGGACCTGACCCAAGTTGAACTGACCACCAACACAAATGCGGGCTCCAATAAGGAGAATCCGGTAAATATGGAAAACAGTGTGTCTTTTTGTCAATTATACATTTTTTTATGTTCGAAAGTCACTTGCCAGATTTCTGCGCAGTCTTTTCCTCCATTCTGTTTTGTCCGGTGCAGCAATTAAATATTATGGATGGAATCCAGGAAACAAAAGGAACTCACTATAATATAACACAGGAAATTAATTTATTACAGCCACTGCTGAGCCAGATATCACAAATAAATTTATCTTTGTATTTCTGTTGCAGCTTCGGAGGTATCTGTTTGCGAGCAAATCTGGAGGTGATAATGTCTCGGTAATCACATATACTGAAGGAATGGTGTGTACATGTTCTTTTCACTTTTCAGAATTATGCTTAGTAAAACGAAAGTTAATGATTAAAGTTTTCATGTCATAAGGTATTTCTTAGAATCACCCCGTTCCCATGTCGGGGGCAGTTTTTTTTTTTTTTTAAAGGCCCATCCTGGCTGTTGCCGGCACCTTAACCTAACCTATGCTTTAAACTGACTTTCTGGGACTTTTCCCGATTGATCCTCATCCAAATAATGGCACTTTGCGTCACCGGGTGTTTTTCGCTCCATGTGATGTCCCGGTGGGGCTGAACGTCAATCAATCAAGTCATAAGCTATTAGATAAGTAGTGGCAATTACAAAGAAATGTACCCTTCAAAATGCAACATGCAGTAAATGGGACAATCCCCAAGCAAGTTGATTAATTTAATTATTTGCGTACCCAAATAACAGGAGGTGAAAGATGAAGTAGAGAAGTTAAATGTAGAATAACTCAAGCAAATGCACCGTTTCATAAAATAAGGAATATTTTATGCAATTTCTCTTTGACTGTTGAGATGAGAAAGATAATTTTCAAGAGCTATGTAAATCATTTACTAATGTATGAAAGTGAATTATGGACAACTGATCGCCAGATAACAAGAGTAATTAGGATGTCAGGAATAGAACTGTCTCACAGAGATAAGTGAGACGATCTAAATTCTTTGGTCATGTCATGAGAATGAGGAAACTAGAGTACAAAGTTGAAAGTATACAATGGCAGAAGGAGACTGATAAAGAAAATGCTGGACAGTTTGACATCAACGCATAGAAGAATATTAATATCACAACTGATACACGGTTGTGGATAGACATGACTACCAGTGCCACATGGCATGGACTATAAGAAGAAGGTAGAGTTATAGTACTCTCTTTGTGCGTTCCAGGTCCCACTACCGCTACAGCAAGCATGCAGGAAGAGTCGACTATCTGGGGACTTCCTTAGAAGTCAGAGTGTGTCTACTTGAGAAACAAGAAGCCAACAGTCTGTCAGGGCTGGGCTTTTAATCAGGTTGAGACCAATACTTTTAGCAAATCGACTCTTCGTTGAATGCTGAGAAATGAGAGTAGAATTTGTGGGAATGTCATGAGTTCAGAGCTTTCCACCGGAGGTACAGCTGGTGAACAGGAAGAAGAAGAAGAAGAAGTTATATACTGCTACTGCAGCGACAATGCAACATCGATAGAACCAAGTATCACCAGTACATGTTGAATCACCTTCGTCTCATGTCCATATGTGTTTAATTAGGCGCAACAGGAAATACTTTGGCTGGGGTCATGACCCAGGTTGACCCACCTTCCGAGATTGTTTAGGTTGGTAACGGGCTGAAACAATCGTGTACGCAGGTTCTTCTACTGATGACCGGTAGACTCCTGCTGTGTTTGCTCTCCTGTGGAATTTTCTTATTATTATTGTGCCACATATATATTTCAGGTAGGTTCACCTTGAAACCTAGCCCAGCCGAGAAAAACTCTGTCTCAGTGGGGTATCCAACACAGGACCAGCAGGCCAACAATAGTCTCTGTGCTTTTGCAACTCCCGAGTCCTGTTCACGAAAGATGAAAGTTCTAAGAAAGTTCTAAACTGGTTTTATCAATTTGCCATAGACAGTCTGTCTAAGCCCCCTCCCCCTCGATAACTGTAAAAAAAAAGGGCTAAGACTTTACAAACTCTTACATTCTGCAGGCAGGGCTACGTGTTGATTTTTGTTATGCACTTAAACAAGGTTTTAGTTTCCTTAATGCACCCCATCCCCCCCCACACACACACACACACAGGCACAACCCCACTGATTTTATGATTTATTCATGACACCACAGCTGGATACATGTTGTAGTAGGCCTTTCAAAACCAGTTCTACAACTTTGAACTTTTACTGTTTTCACTTTCAGAAGCGAGCCAGAGAAAGACAAAACATTTACCAGTTTAAAGAAGTTGCTGATACCTTTAAGTAGGTAATTTAAATTATCTTTTGTTGACTAGTTGGTGTCTATGGTTTAGGTGTTATGAGTTTAGTTTCATAAGTTTGAAGCACTGGGGATCGATTCAGATGCAAGTAAATCGGTAGCCGACCGATTTGCATTGATTTAAACCCCCCCCCCCCATCTCTCTCTCCTTTTTTTCCTTATTCTCCCCCCTCTCTCTCTCTCTCTCTCTCTCTCTCTCTCTCTCTCTCTCTCTCTCTCTCTTTTATTTTATTTATCAAATTCCTTCTCATTATATATGTAATTTCTCTCTTATTGACTCATATCTCCTTATCCCTCTCATTCTGTTGCCTTCTGTGTTTCATTCTCACTCATTCTGTCTTTGTCGAATTATCTTGCCCTGACTCTCATTCACGCTTTCTGTACACACACACACACACACACACACACACACACACGGACACGCGCGCGCGCGCGCTTGCGCGGAGACACACACATTTTTAGGGTCTCAATTTCATGTTTTAATTGATCTGCACCACAGAGTCGTGTTGACTATGTATAACATGTGATGATTCTCACCCAACTTTGATACAGTCCTCCTTTCGAACAGTTAAAGGGAATAGAAAATGTAATCATGTCTGTGTCAAAAACACAATGAAGATCAAAATGTGTATTTGAATTTAAAGAAAACAAGAATGTCCACAGACAAAACTGGATGTCTTTCAGAAATAACAATAAATGGTGAGGAAATTGAAAATGTCTCATACTTTGAATATCTAAGCTCTATAATAAATAGCAATGGAGACTGTTTGACTAAAATCAAAAGGATGATGGCCATAGCAATGCAAAGATTAAACAGCATTAAAAGTTTATGATTGAGCATCTGCCAGGAAATGAAAATTAAAATTTTGAGAGCATGCACCTTACCTGTAGCAACATACGGATGTGCACTATCTCCCAGGCCTCAAGAAAGAAAAGGAAGACCTTTCAGCTGAAATGTTATAGACAAATTCCCAGAATACTATGGCTGAAAAAAAAAAAATACTGACATTTTTAAAGATCTAAACATCAAAGAAGATTGGCTGATAAACAGGCAAAATAAAAATATTACAAATAATAGCAGAAGGGTGAGGTACCAGGAAAGAGGGGCAAGGGCCGTCCAAAGCAAAGATAGGCACAGGATATAACTGAATCCTTGAATATGAATGTACATGGGGCGGGAGAGTTAGCAAGAGACCGAGTTTGTTTAATTCAACCCGTGATGAGAGTGACGTTCTGCAAAGGACCTGCTACATGATGATGATATATATTTAAATCTTGTTTTGTCATATTTCTGATTCATGCCTTTTTTAATACAATACTGTTACATATCTTCTGTCTATCTAAAATTTAAAAAAATGGAGGAGTGTATAATAATTCAAAAGAGAGTATTAAAAAAAAAGTAAAGATCCCTTTTCACGCATTTCGGCGCATCGGGCATATGGGCAGAGCGTCCCATATTTTTACAGACCATCAGCACTCTATGGGTAATGTGGTCAGCATTACGCCGACTGTCTTTACTTTCCCAGGACAGCCCGTCCTGGTACCCATTTTAGGCTGGGTCGACCTGCGACGTCCCATACCACGATAAAAATCCGCGCAGCCTGCAGTGAGTTTCGATCGCGGTATCTGGCTTACGAGTCGGACTCGCAACGCCTTAGCCAAATTAGTGATGCATGTTCACCTCACATTTAGCCTTTCTGAAAACTCATCTTTCATACTGCAATTGTATTTTAAGTGTAAAGCATATCCATATTCTTCTTCTGCCTTCTGTCTACCAATGGAGCATAGGTCCCCAGCCAACTCATGCTAAATCATTCGACCCTTTGCTCATCATCTTTTTTACTGTCACTCCCTAGCTCCCTTCTCCGTTTGGTTTTTCGTCTGCCTTTTATTTCTATGCCCGTGTGGGTTCCAGTAAAAAGTTATACTCTAGTTATACTGTTCTCAAGTTTCCTCAGAGTGTGTCTTAATTGATGCGTGCGTCGTTGTTTGTTTCCTTTTCACTTCTCGATGCACTGCAAATTGATTAATCCTCCCCCAAAGCTCAACATCAGTGATTTTTTTCTTCTGCCTTTCTATCCCCCAGTGGGGCATAGGTCCTCTACCAACTCATGCCAAGTCGTTCTATCCTTCGTCATTGCATGGAGCTCTCCCCATGTCCTCCCCATCTTTCTAACTTCATTCTCCAGCTCTCTTGTCCATGTGTTTTTTTTTTTTTTTTTGGGCTTTCTTTTATTCCTATGCCCCTGTGGGTTCCAATGCAAAGACATTCTAGTTATGCTGTTCTCCTGTTTTCTCAATGTGTGTCCTATTCAACGCCAGCGTCTTTTCCTCACCAGCGTCATTTCCTCTATAAACTGGAGCCTGTTTAGTTCTCTCTCAAATTTCTACATTAGTTATTCTATAATGCCATTTAATTCCCTCTCTTCTGCGCATGCGCCAGTTAATGAATTAGATGTTATACTTCACAGTATCATAGTTCATATTACAATTTCCAAAATATGATTTCATCGAAACTATATTCTTTAATGGTAGACAATTGACAGACGACGATGAAGAAAAAAAAAAGAAAACAGAAAAAGAAGAAGAAGAACATAGCACCATTGGTAAAGGCTCTGCTTTGATGTTTCTGGAAGGCGAACCCATACTCTGTACCTGGTGTCTCCTTGGAAATGCTATAGAAGTGGTTTCAAAAATCAGAAAATCCATTATGTGGAGAAAAAAAAAATGTACGGCAGGAGAGGAGACAAGTCTTTAATTAAATTATTTGAAAAACAAAGACTGAAATTGTTTGGCCATTTCATGAGAATGAATCTGGGTGTAACCAGAGGGTCTTGCCGGTTCACTACACTCAGAGGAAAGACAAGATGGACATATAACCAGATTGTGACCAGTACCATCAGTACTGGAACTCTCTGCTGGCTGCTGAAGATGAGGACCGAGCATGCATGGGAATGCCCCGAGTGCTGTGATGTCAATTCTTGACTCAACTCCACTCAACTCAACTCAACTGAGAATGAATCCAATCAGAAAGCAGCGGGGATGTGGTTTCTGGGACCAATGTTAGGAATCATTGGACTGCCAGAATAACTAACGAGGAATGCTTGAAAAAGCTAATAGAATAAGATTAATATATATATATATATAGTTAAATGGAAAAGACAGGTACTGTTCTTTAGTCCTGTATTGATGGGCGAAACCTTGAAGAATATTTTGACGATGGAAAGATCAACAGTAGAAGAGGGAGAGGCAAACTGACAGCAATAAAGGCAGATAGATTGTGATGGTGACAAGGAGAGATTTTATCGGCAGAAATGATTCAGAGGACAAGGGATTGAGATTTTTTTAGATGAATGAGTGCTTACGCCAGTCAGCAGGGCATATGATGATGATGGATTCAATGATGCCGGAAACCACAGGATACAGCATAAAAATAGAAACACAAAGAGGTAGGGGACCACCAAGAAGATAATGAACAAAGGAGTCACTGATATGATACCTTGAGACTCCATAGCATCACATCATACCAGGCAGCCGAGGGTGCCCTAGCTCGGAAACCGAGTACCTGTCAACCTGAGGCTTGAACAACGGATCAACATCATGGCACACGGGTAGTAACCCATAAGTGCTCCGTTCTTTCTTTTAACTCAAGTGTGAGTCCGAAGAAGCTCAGCACAGTGCTAAGGCTCTGTAGCATCGGCGATGATCCTGAAATGCTTTAGGTAAATTTTTAATTCAAAATTTTCGCCCGGGACAGCACCGTTAGTCTACTCTTTCAGATTTGCAACTGCCAAGGGATTTTTGTATGTACGCAACATTGCACACGGGCGTTCAATCTCACTACCCAGAGACCAGATGGAATTACTAGAAGTCCTAGTCCACGTGAAAAAAATCCCAGCTCTTACCGGGGATTGAACCCGGAACCTCTAGCACTCTAGGCGGACACTATGCATCAAGACCACACAGCCCCACCTGCGACGTCTCACGGCAGACAGCAGAAAATGGACAAAAGAAGAAAGAACAGTTTACCTTTGCTTTGATCTATTTCATCTGGTTTGAGAATTCTAGTTGTATTTTCTTATTCCCTTGAATTGCAGACTGGTTTTTGTGGTGCCCAGTGGATATGGTTCACGCTACATAACAGTTGATCCAAGTTCTGTACTGTCACTGCAAGAATGTAAGACTGTACTGTTGCTTGTGCTGTCATGTTTCATGGTGATTATATTAGCTGCATCTGCAAGAGGCAGTCAGCATGTTGTGGTTTACAGCTAGGCTGCAATATCTTTCCCCCTTTCAGCCCAACTAGAGCCGCCATGGTGTAGCGGCTAGACGTTCATGCGGATCAGAAGGTCGTAGGTACAAGTCCTGGCAGAGACGGTGTTTTTATAAACAATTACCTCAACTCCCAGCTCAACACAGCCTTGAGTAGGTACCAGGTATAGTCCTGGGAAGTAAAGACGGTCGGCGTGAAGTTGACCACATCACCCACCGAGTGTCGATTGGTCTATAAAATATAGGTCTAGCCCTATATGCCCAATACACCAGAAGGCGTGGAAAAAGGTCCTTTACTTTTTTTTTCAGTACAACACTTCCGAATTCAGCAAATCCATAATTATAATCGCAGCAAAAGATGGTTGGGAGTTAGTTGTTATTTATATTTGTGTGGGTTTTTATGTGTTAAATGACATCATAAACTACTTAAATTTATTCAGTCGACCCTTTGAGGTCTGCAAACCACTAATTAGGTCACTACAATTATAGAGAATATCAGACATTTGATGTGAAAATTTATGATTTTTTTTTTAAAAAAAGATGCAGCTCACGTCATGTTCTCCTCCATCAACTTCAATTTCTGGCTCCTTTGTTCATGCTTTTGTCTCCTGCCTTTTATTCTATGCCCCTGTGGGTTCCAGTAAAAATCTATTATAGTTTTCTCAGCGTGTCCTATCCAACGCCAGCATCTTTTATTCTCATCTTAGTTAACTAGAACTTGTTTTGTTCTATCCCAAAACTCAACATTTGTGAATATATCATATTGAATAATTCCTTTAAATTATTATAGTATAATATGTTTGTGTTTTTTATAGTATATTATAATTCATGGTATATTTCATATTAAAATATACATAATGTGATTTGCATAAATAAAAAGAGGGGGACTACATGAGAATTTCTTCTTCTTCTTCTTCTTCAGCATTCCAAGCCCTTGAGGTTTATTGTTACATATATCACCCGCCTCCACTCATCTCTCTGACTGGCCTTTTTCTTCAGCATTCCAATCCCTTGAGGTTCATTGCTACAGATATCACCCGCTTCCACTGAGCTGTATGGTTGGCCTTCTCCTTCCAGTTGGTGACACAAAGTGTTTGCAGGTCTGTCTGGACATTTTTTCTCCATCGTCTTCTTGGTCTCCCTCGTGGTCTACGACCATTCAGCTCCCTTGCAGTTTTTACTTCTCTGTCATCAGACATTCTTTCAATATGCCCCAGTCGTTTCAGTCTATTAGCTCGCATGATGCCTGTTATCATTTCTGATTTAAACATATTATGAATTTCATTGTTGCTTCTCACTCTCCATTCCCGCTGTCTGCATCTTTGATGAGTCCAAAGATTCGTCGTAAGACTCAGGTTTCGAAAACCTGTAATAAGGCTTCATCTCTTTTAGTTGTGCTCCACGTTTCAGAGACATATAAAATGACTTGTCTTATCAACTTTTTAAATACTTTGATCTTAGAGATTGCGAATCAGATACTTTGACTTTAGCATTAGACCTTAGAAACCTTATCTATAATAAACAGAAAATGTACTGACCTGAACACATAGAAAGAATTTGAAAGATAGAAACAAATACTAAAAAAAACATGAAAATCGAAAGCTATAATTACCGTGCTGGGAATGAAACCTGTCACCTCAAAATGGGGAGTGCGCTTCGCTATATGGCGTTTTCTTCAATAGGAGACAATGAACAGACAATGACGAAGAAGAAAACGAAAACAGAGAAAAAGGAGAACCTAGCACCATTCGTAAAAGATCTGCTGTGGAGTCCTCTTATGATGTTTTTCAAAGGTCACCTCGAACTTTTTAACCCGTTATCTCCCCGTTCATGCTGTACAGGCGGTTTATGAAATCATAAAAATCAGTCACATAAATACACTTTTACCTGCGTGGACTCTTGAGCCACACTTTGTGCATTAAACCAGAAGTAACATAGTGCCTTATAAGAAGCATATCATTAAAAAAAAAAAAAAAATTAAGCGATGCTTAAATTGGATGTGTTGGGTGAAAAGGGGGTAGGAGCCTGTCCTACTACTAGGCGCGTCCACCAGGTGGCGGATGGTGGAAAGGCCTCTAGATATAGAGGTTAGCCACGAAAATATTCAATAAGTGGCCTTGGACCCCCAAAAAAAGGTGCAAATACTGTACAATTTATGCAAATACTGTAAAATTTAAAAGAAGAAGAAAAAGAAGAAGTAGACAGAAGAAGAAGAAGAAGAAGAAGAGAAGAAGAAGTAGAAGAAGAAGAGGAAGAAGAGGAGGAAGAAGAGGAAGTGCCAAGCTGCGAAGAAGAAGAAGGAAGAAGAAGGAGAAGAAGAAGAAGAAGAAGAAGAAGAGGAAGAAGAGGAAGAAGAGAAAGAAGAAGAAGAAGAAGAAAGAAGAAGAAAAAGAAGAAGAAAAAGAAGAAAGAAGAAGAAGAGAAGAAGAAGAAGAAGAAGAAGAAGAAGAAGAAGAAGAAGAAAAGAAGAAGAGAAGAAAGAAGAAGAAGAAGAAGAAGAAGAAGAAGAAGAAGAAGAAGAAGAAGAAGAAGAAGAAGAAGAAGAAGAAGAAGAAGAAGAGGAGAAGAAGAGGAAGAAGAAGAAGAAGAAGAAGAAGAAGAAGAAGAAGAAGAAGAGGAAGAAAGAAGAAGAAGAAGAAGAAGAAAGAAGAAGAAGAAGAAGAGAAGAAGAAGAAGAAGAAGAAGAAGAAGAAGAAGAAGAAGAAGAAAGAAGAAGAAGAAGAGAAGAAGAAGAAGAAGAAGAGGAAGAAGAAGAAGAAGAGAAGAAGAAGAAGAAGAAGAAGAAGAAGAAGAAGAAGAAGAAGAAGAAGAAGAAGAAGAAGAAGAAGAAGAAGAAGAAGAAGAAAAGAAGAAAGAAGAAGAGAAGAAGAAGAAGAAGAGGAGAAGAAGAAAAAAAAAAAAGAAGAAGAAGGAAGAAGAAGAAAGAAGAAAGAAGAAGAAGAAGAAGAAGAAGAAGAAGAAGAAGAAGAAGAAGAAGAAGAAGAAGAAGAAAAGAAGAAGAAGAAGGAAAGAAGAGGAAGAAGAGGAAGAGGAAGAAGAAGAAGAAGAAGAAGAAGAAAGAAGAAGAAGAAGAAGAAGATGAAGAAGAGGAAGAAGAGAAGAAAGAAGGAAGAAGAAGAAGAAAGAAGAAGAAGAAGAAGAAGAAGAAGAAGAAGAAGAAGAAGAAGAAGAAGAAGAAGAAGAAGAAGAAGAAGAAGAAGAAGAAGAAGAAGAAGAAGAAGAAGAAGAAGAAGAAGAAGAAGAAGAAGAAAAGGAAGAAGAAGAAGAAGGAAGGAAGAAGAAGAAGGAAGGAAGAAGAAGAAGAAGAGGATAATTAGGAGGTGATGGTGGTAGTAGTGATTGTTGTGGTAGTAGTAGTAGTTATTAATTTCTATCATCACTTGCTAAAATATATGTGTTACAAGGTTAAGTGGTGGGGGATGAGAGTTTATTCATTATATAGAGAGCATAAATAATTGATTTAAATATTAATGTTATTTTCTTATTTCTTGTAGAATATGCAACTTGTCCTATTGTAAATAATGTATCTGACTGTTTGCATTGTATTTATAAATAATTATTAATATTACTGTATTAGTAATATTTGTTCTTTTTTTTTTTTTTAGTAAGGAAGTTGGAAAATAAAACAAGTTATATAGCAGATTTATCAAATTGGTAAGTTACATATTTTTTCATTATGATTAGATTTGGCTTTTTTTTTTTCTCTCGTATTTACTAATCAAGGCTTCAGAAAACCAAACCCGTCACTTTGCTTAGTGATTATTTTTTGTTGTTATGCTTACTATCAAAGACACTTAGCAAACACACAAAACTCAAGATCTTCAATTCTTGTGTGATTCCAGTACTAACCTATGGATGCGAGAGCTGGAAATCAACGAAAACTCTAGACATAAAATGAGACAGTTTTGAAAATAAATGCCTTAGAAGAATACTAAATTTCAAATGGTCAGATTTCCGAACCAATACACAAATAAGGCAAGAATCCAGGCAAGAGTATGTGTCTAATTTTATACGAAAACGCCGCTGGAACTATGTCGGCCACGCCCTTAGAATGGATAAATCAAGACTTCCTTACCAAGCCCTCATTTGGACACCACAAGGGAAAAGATCTCGTGGAAGACCAAGGGAAACCCTACGTAGAACTATCATCAGGGAAGGCTCGCCCATGGGCCACTCAAACATCCAAGACCTACAACAGATTGCAACGAACCGCCATGCATGGAGAGTCATGACCTCTGCCCTATGTGCCGCACTCGACACAAGAGGAAAGACTAACTAACTAACTATGCTTAAAATCCATGTGCTCTGTAGAGTTGCAGGCAAAACTTCAGAGGTCCAGGGTTGTTAGCATCCTGTGGAAATTTTCTCTAGAATATGCAAGTGTGTTTTAGAACGAACAGTAGAATAGACTGGCTGGTTCTGCACCAGTCAATCGTGAACTGATGTTGTCAAGGACCTTTGGTAGCGAGTGAACAGTGCAGAGACACCATTAGATTATTTTAGTCTGAAGAGAATGGTGCTGCGGGGAGTGACAAGGGGTATCTGGCTGACACTCCATACTCAGAGGAAATGCAAGACAGACATACAATCAGACAGCTATTGGTTCCATCAGAGTTGGAACTCTTCGCTGGCTGCTGAAGATGCGGACGGAGCTCAGGAATGTCCTCAGTGCTGTGATGTCAGTTCTTGAAACTCAGCTCTGAAATCAGCACAACTCCATGCATCATAGGGGGAACAGAGGTGGACTTTTAATCAGTTGCACCTGGTAGTATTAGCATATTGAAGCTTCAACTGCTGCTGAGGAATAAGAGTAGCATCTGGAAATGTCACAAGTACGGGAGTTCAGTTCGGACACTCAAAAACGCAAAAGGGAGACTTAAAGGAAGATGTGTTAAAGGAGTTTCTGACAGCTTACGGCATCAAAACATCACAGCATACCAAGCATGCCCTAGCTTGACTACTTATCATTAGTTAGACTCAGGTGCCTTAAAGAAAAAAGGAGATTCTTTCAGGTTGTTATGGGAATTGTGTAGTTCTTGATTTATGTGATTCTTTTCGCAGGTGGCTAGCTATTTTACTGAAAGAGACTGTAGGACACACACCTGTTGCAGTTAAATTCAGCTGTGAACTTGAATCTTTTTACCAACGTAGGCCACAAAAGCGACATTTGCGGTTGGGTCAATTTTCCCTAATTGACACTTTTCCACTTGTCTACAGCGACATGTTTATGAGATGCATAGTTAATGTTACTGTTTTCACGTCAGGGAGGAGGGGAACCAACTGTCTGCATACATTATGCCAGATCTGTAAAATACATCTACACCCAAAACTGAAGGACAAGTAGATGGACAACCAGAACTTTACAGTCGGTGATCATGAAGAAGATAATCAATTCAGCTAAGACCATCATTGGATAGACGCTCACCTGCGGATCGGAAAATCGTGGGTTCGCTCCCTGACGGAGACGGACGTTTTAAAGAAATTACCTTGCCTTTCAGGTCGACCCAGTCTTGAGTGGATACCAGGTGCAGTCCTGGGAAGTAAATGCCGCCGGCATGATGCTGACCACATCACCCATCATGAGCCTATTGGTCTATAAAAATGCATGTCTAAGCCTATATGCCCAATACGCTCGAAGGCGTGGAAAAGGGTCCTTTACTTTTACTAAAACCATCATTGCAAGAAGTGTTACTCTTTTTAAGACTCGTTGCACAGAGATGTAGTGACATATGTGTATGTATGTGAAACAGTATGTGAAATTAGTATGTGTACATTTTACCAAAAGCTGCCGTGATGGAGTGGCGAGATGTTCGCCTGTGGATCCCACGCTCATGGGTTCAGGTCCAGATGGAGCCGAACTGTTTTCACAAAATGAGATTAGCTTCCAGGGCTTCCCATCAGTAAAATAGGTAACATGCAAAGTCCTGGGATGTTGAGCCAGCTGGCGTGATGATGACTATGTCACCCACAGAGTGCCGATTGGTCTATAAAATATATATCGATCTAGTCATGTATGCCCAATATGCTTAAATAAAGGGTCTTTGATTTTACTTTACACGCTACAATTGATTCAGCAAAGAGTTGTCCAACACTGGATGGACTGACAAGAATATTTGTCTCTGAGTATCACTGGGAACAAAGCGCGCGCGCGCACGCACGCACGCACGCACGCACGCACGCACACACGCACGCACACACACACACTCTCTCTCTCTCTCTCTCTCTCTCTCTCTCTTTCTCTCTCTCTTACAGATGCCTCTGTTAAAATCTGGTTTTCAAAGGCAAAATAAGAAGTAGAGAAAACAATACTAAACATAATATTCAATATTATACTTAAATTGTAGTATGTCTTTTGTTTTGGTCGTGTTATGGGAAGAAGAAAACTGGACCATCTGTGTAAAAATAAAAAATGACAGAGGAAAACAACATGAAAAAAATTCTTGACAGCCTTTTGTTATAGCATGAAAGGGTGTCAGTACACAAACTGATAAAGCTGTTGAAGATCTCAGACTGCGGAGAGGCATGATTACTCACACCTGTTGGCAAGGCACCTGATGATGATGAATGTGTGTTTGGTGTTTAGTATGAAATTGCAGTAACTAATAGACTTAAATGTATTACCAGGATATACTGTTGGGATGACAAGACCGGCAGTTGGACACAGATGGACATTAAAAAAATGACAGTGTATCTGGAGCATGACATAGCTGGTGGATCATGTAAGACCTGTTGCTCTCTTTGCTTCCAGTGAGTTTGTGAATAGTTTGCAGTCAGGAAATGTGTTGTTTCTTTTAATATTTTCATACTGCTGCTTGTAGAGAGGCCATCGCATATGTTTCAGACATGTCTCAAGACTACTCCAAGACTGTGCACCACAGAGAGCCCTGGTACATAGGCACAGCGGAAGCACCTAGAGGTCGACCATGGAAGAAATCGAAGAAGAAGGAAAAAGGAGGAAGAGGAAGGATGGAGAAGGAAGAAGAGGAAGGAAGAAGATGACGACAACAAGGATGACGACGACAAAGATGATTAAGATGAAGGAGACGACAAAGACAGTGATAATGATGAAGATGAGGACAACGATGAAGACGACGATGAAAATGACGATGGCGATGAAGACGACGACAACGAAGACGATGACAAAGAAGGAGAATCTTTTCCATATTAGACTAAAACTGACTACCAATGTGAGACTGTACCGTGGTTTTGTATTGTCATTTTTGGTTGCTCACCAGTAATTATGTTAACTTTTTGAGTACCAGAAAGTTTTACAATATATGCCCAGATGTATCAATTACCATTAGTAAAATCCATAAGTGTATAGCTTGCAAAGAAGCTGCATACTGGGGGAACCAGATTTGCTTAGTAAGCTCAAATCAAATGTATACAGTAAGTAAAAAGTAATAAAGATCCCTTTTCATGCCTTTTAGGCGTATGGGTATATAGGAAAAAATTTCTTAACTCCTCAGAGATGTGGTTTTACAGATGAATGCTTGGACAGCCCAAAAGAGCAACCAAGAGGTTTTGAAAGATGCGGAAGCCCGAAGACAACTTATCACAGACATTAGAAGGAGACAATCATCATTTTTCGGCCATGTTTTGAGAAGAAAAATGGAACATGTTATGACCACTGGAAAGATTTGTTGAAGGAGTGATAGAGGAAGACAACTAGAGAAGATTCTTAGCAGTCTTGTTACATAGCATGGAGGTGTGTCTGCACGTGAACTGATCTTCTGAGATGCAGTGCTTGTGATGGTATTTGATCTTGCTGCATTTTAACGAGATGGCCAAACCATGTGATCTGCTGTTTCTAGATAAAGCTAGTGCAAATTATCATTTCCACAATTTTCATTATTCACTCAATCTCGGATGGTTAGGCTGGCTACTTTTGTCAGGCATCTCATCTCGCAGGTGGTGATTTTGCATAAATGGGCTTTAGATAGTGTCCATGTTTGGCACTGGTAGATAAATCGGCTAAAAAAAAATATATATATATATATATATTTAACTGACCAAGAAGCCAGTTAACTTTCCAAAGAACCAGCCAGCTACTGTTCTATTATTCAGTTAACCACTTAATGTACAACCATACATCCATCCAAATAGCAACTAACTATTCATTTAACCAGATGATCAACTCACTGTTCTATCAACCAATAATTCAGGCAACCAACCATCCAGCAAACCATCTAACAAGCCAACAGCTGTCACATCCGCAAGCCAAACCGCATCTCAATCAATCAACCAACTAAATAACTCCTAAGCAATAATTGTTCTGTTTGTTTTTGTTCATTTAAGAATACATATTTGAGGAGCTACAGCAGCAGGCACTCTTGAATGCCAAACTTCATCATCATCGTGTAGCAAGTCCTTTGTAGAATGTTGCTCTCATTGCAGCCTGCATGTAATAAACCTGGTCTCCTGCCAGATCTCTTACCGTGTATAATTTCCTCCCCAGGTGTCACTTAGATCCTGTTTGCGTCATCATGCTGGTCAGTGCCAGCCCTTCTTTGCCGGTACCATGCCTTCTGTTACTATTCGTTCCAATCCGTCATGGTGCTTGATATGACAAAAATATTTCTGTTTCTGAGACAAGATGTGTTTACTAGCAGTTTTCTTGATGTTCAGATCTCTTAAAATGTCAGGATTTCTTTTTTTTTTTTTGGACCATGATATTCTGAGAATCTTTCTTCAGCATTTCAGTATAAAAAGTCCCTATTGTCTTCCTTGAAGACTGTGAGACAGTCCATGACTAATATCTCTCTATGTTGCTACAGAAAAGATGCATGCTCTCCAAATTTCAGCTTTAATTTCCTTGGGAGTATAAGCTGTAGAAATCATATCCTGATATATGGAAGTAAATCATGGATAGTTGTCTTGTTAGTGAAACAGTATGTGGAAGTGGCAGAGATGTGGTTTTTATAGATGAATGATGGGAGCACCCTGGACAGATAAAAACACAAAAGGGACTGATTGCCCACATTAGAAGAAGATAGTCTAAATTCTTTGGTCATGTCACGAGAAGGAGAACACTGAAGTACATTGTGATGATGGAAACGTTGGAGAGAAAAGAAAAAGAGATGAAGACGGAGAGGGAAGATGCTGGACAGCTCTCACATCATGGCATGGAAGATCATCTGTGTCAGAATTGATTGAAAATATACAAAAGATAAGGTTGTGTATAGAAGTAACTACCAATATCACAAAGTATCAGAATTGACTGAAAATATACAAGAGAGAAAGTTGTGGATATATGTGACTACCAATATCACAAAGTATGGAAGATCATCTGTGTCAGAATTGAGTAAAAATATACAAGAGAGAAAGTTGTGGATAGAAGTAACTACCAACATCACAAAGTATGGAAGATCATCTGTGTCAGAATTGAGTAAAAATATACAAGAGAGAAAATTGTGGATAGAAGTAACTACCAACATCACAAAGTATGGAAGATCATCTGTGTCAGAATTGATTGAAAATATACAAAAGATAAGGTTGTGTATAGAAGTAACTACCAATATCCCAAAGTATGGAAGATCATCTGTGTCAGAATTGATTGCAAATATACAAAAGAGAAGGTTGTGGATAGAAGTAATTACCAATATCTCAAAGTATGGAAGATTATCTGTGTCAGAATTGATTGCAAATATACAAAAGAGAAGGTTGTGTACAGAAGTAACTACCAATTTTACAAAGTATGGAAGATCATATGTGTCAGAATTGACTGAAAATATGCAAGAGAGAAAGTTGTGGATATATGTGACTACCAATATCACAAAGTATGGAAGATCATCTGTGTCAGAATAGATTCAAATTACATGACAGAGAAGGTTGTGGATAGAAGTAACTACCAATATCCCAAAGTATGGAAGATCATCTGTGTCAGAATTGACTGAAAATATACAAGAGAGAAAGTTGTGGATATGTAACTGCCAACATCACGAGGTATGGAAGATCATATGGGTCATAATCGATTAAAAGTAATCAGAAGTCTCTGGTAGACATGACTACCAACGTCACAAGGTATGGAACATCATGTGTGTCACAATTAATTGAAAGTAACTACAAAGCAGTGATAGACATGACAATCAACCCCAACATGTTATGAACTAAAAAAAAAAGAAAGAAAGACAAAAAGACAGCTAGCATGACTCTAACCTTATCAAATTCTAAACAATCTTAACTAAATAGGACTCAGTTTGCCTTATGCTATGAAATGAGGTCCTTGACGTTATTATTTTGCAGCCATTTTACTAGAATTTCATGAAAATAATGTTCATTTACAATTTCTTCCCCTTTTGAAATAGGTGATCGTGAGCACATGTATAGAATTCTAAAGGACTGGGAGCTGACTTCGAAGTATGGAAAAGCATGGGAAGACAAGGTTAAGCGCTTTATCGTGTCTGAAACAGAAAAGAAATATGTGTACGTACAATTGTTTATGTTTATGTGCAATTGTCTTCTTTTGTCTTACTGCTTATCCCAGAACAAGTAACAAAGAGGAGTTTTGTGTAGTTTCTTGTCGTTTGTTAGTTGTGTAGCTTGTATTAATGACATACTCTGTTTCTCTAGTGTTTCTTCTACTGTCCTTCACCCATTGCTTTCTTGGTTGGCCTTTTGCCTTGTAAAAGGCTGTTCTCACGCGGTATGCTCTAGCAGCTGGCTGATTTTTGTTCCATTCTGACCAGATGACAAAACCATTTGATTCTTAGATGTTCTACCTGCTTGTGCTTCTTGAATTTGTATTATAGGTTTTTTTTCCCAAACCATCCATAATTTATAATGACAATCATCCATGGACTACTTTTAGTGACAATCACATACACATTATTTATAATAACAATCACGCCTGCATTTTGTTTTTCAATTTAACAATCTGATTATTTACAATTGTTTTAAATATTTCAGTGATGCCATTGGAAAAATATGGATTGGAACGTCTTCTGGTTTGACAAGGTCTCTTGAAGTTGGTGACAGTGATATGTAAGTGGAATTCATCATCATCATCATCACTGTCCTGTTGTGCCAATATATGTCACATAGGGCTCACAGTCAATTCATGGCTCCCGAACTATCCTAAGCAATCCCTTTGATATCATTGATGGAATCCAGTCTAACACCTCTGGCCTCCCTCTCGTCCATGTTTGTTTTGGGTGTCATCGCTTCCTCATTTTTTTAATTTCCCAATTAGGTACCTGCTTATAGGTAGACATATTTATCATGTTGTTGTGGCATAATGGGTTATGTGAAGAAAGTAAGTAAAGATCCATTTTCACACCTTTAGGCCCATTGGGTATATGGGAAGAGCACCCATATTTTTACAGACCAGTCGGCACTAGGTGGGTAATGTAGTCAGCATTACGCCCGCCGTCTTTACTTCCCCAGGACATACATCCTGGTACCCATTTTAGGCTGGGTCTACTTGCGACGCCCCATACTAGATTAAAAATCCATGCAGCCAGTAGTAAGTTTCGATCGCGGTATGTTCGATTTATGAGTCAGACTCGAAATGCCATGGATGCCGGATAAGTGGTCATGAATAATCGTATTTGATCATCTAAGTGTCATATCAGATCTGTTCATGTTCAAGTTATCCAGGTATTTATCTCTTTGTCTTTCTTCGCTCTTCTTTATACAAGTGTGCTAGTTGTCACTAAGTTTTTGAGGTTATTTGTTCTTCTTCTAAGTGTTCACCAGCTGAAAAATCTGGTGGAAAGTTGTGGTTGTTCGTACACTTTTGGACTTTAGCCTTCTTTCAGAACTTGAGTATTTGTTCACTTTCATTTTTCAGACCTGGCTTGTTTTAACCGTGTGCAGACTGTTGGCTTTTTTGCCTCTCAAGCAGACGCACTTCGACTTTGAAGTGAAAATCCTTGGCTTTTATGACATACACTGTGTCCTTAAAGTCGTGGTGCATTTTTAAAAGGAAAGCAACAAAAGAAGACATAAACGTAAAATCTGACGCTCTTAGACATTTAGGCTATCCTCCAGATCACGGTCCCAAATTATCGAGGCCGAAAATATACCCTAACAGGGCCTCAGTCACATGTAAATTGTGGACTTCCGGTGAGTACCGCCACCGCCGAGAGTATCTCCCGTGCTGCTACGCGCGGTGTGGAGTGGGGCTAAACTAGATGGCTGAGACTCACGAGCAATAAAATGAAGGAAGCTGTATGAGATGCTGTAGCTGCTGCTCGTGAGTCCCATCCATTTGGTTTAGCTCCTTGGAAGTCCACAATTTACATGTGACTTAGGCCCTATTCGGGTAATTTTCGGCCTGGATAATTTAGGGCCGTAAATTTGGAGAATAGCCGTCATTTACTTGTGGAGTTATGTGAAGCAGCATGTGTACAGTGAACGTTTCAATGACAAAAATCATTTTAAACAAAGAATTACAGACGTTATTTACTCTGTTACACCAGCCATTCTTAACCATGTTTGGGAAGAACTCGAATATCATTTAGATGTGTGTAGGGCATCAAATGTAAGCCTCATCGAAATTATTTGAAAAGGTACACAACTTGGAGGGTTTTTCTTTCATGTGGTGAAGATTTCACAATTCTGTCTTGTTTCGTTGATATCCTGTGGCCGGTCAAAATGCACCATGACTTTACGGACACATAGTACATGCTGGGAATTGGTGGGGAAAGAGGGGGGGGGATGGGACTTCTTTTCTTCCCTAAAATCAGGCCCCTTAATCCACAAGGAAATTGGGTGTTTACTTCTTCTAATAGCATTCTCTGCAAAATCTAGTCATTCTAATATCTTCATCAGTATACAGGTTGCTTCTGTTTCTTAACTGTCTCATTTTTTGTTCTTATTTATAGTTTTCTCTGAGTTCCGCTGGAAACTACACTTATTTTATTATCAGATATCTCTCAAACTGTTTCTCAGCTGTTTCTAGAATATCAACAATGTTTGTTTTTCTTTCTCGTCTTGGTCAATGGCATTCTAGATATATGTCTCCAGAAATCTGGCTTAAGAGCCTTTGTTTTCTTATTTGTCCAATTATTGTCCATATTTCAAATGCATAACAACAGTAGAGGTTCTGTATAGTACTTCAACACTCCTTTTCTCTCAGCACAGTTGATTATCTTTTTAATGCTATGTTTTCCTTCTTGCAAAAACCACAGCGGCCTAGTTATTCGTATTCTGATCCCTGTACATTGCACAGTGTGGCTGTGTGACAGAGACTGATGTACTGGCATTTGTTACAGTGTTTAGGCGCTGGTAAAGTGGCAGCTATAGTTCCAGAAATTCTGCCGCTGGGTGGCCGTTTGGTGTAAGTTGATGCAATCTGGCATGTGAAGTAAAGTGAAGTAAAGGGCCCTTTTCCACTCCTTTAGGCATATAGGGCTAGACCTATATTTTTAAAGGTATAGGTACCGGATTCAGTCCTGGGAAGTGAAGGCCGCCGGCGTGATGCTGACCACGTCAACCATCTTGTACCGATTGGTTCACAAAATATAGGTCTAGCCCTATATACCCTATACGCCTGAAGGCATGGAAAAAAGTTCTTTGCTTCTTTTTTTTTTTTTACTTATGCTATCAGAATCATCACCACGCGTCACTGCACATGTGAACTCATTTCCAAACAATCTTCAGGCTTGCGCCAATTACCGTATATTTTTTTCCAGGGATGTTGAGATTTTTAGTCAAAAGATCAAAGAAATTCACTGCTTTAAGAAAATAGCAGCACCTGTGCAACTGCAAATTATGGAATCATAAAAACATGGGAAGTGTGAGGTCACATGCACAAATTTGTAACGATCCGTAAAGGAGTTTTCGAGATATTTGTTAAAAGTGTGACGGCATGAGTTTTGAAACGCACTATAGATTGTCAACTTCCAGCCTAAAGGTCATGGGTTAAAATCCGCATCATGTCAGATTGTTTTCAAGCACTACCTTGGCTTCCATGCTGACCCAGCCTAAAATGGATACCAGGTAAAGTCCTGGGAAATCGAGTCAGCTGGTGAGATGTTGACCACATCACTCGAGTTTTTAGTGCTCTTAGTTAGTTAGTTAGTCTTTCCTCTTGTGTCGAGTGCGGCACATAGGGCAGAGGTCATGACTCTCCATGCATGGCGGTTCGTTGCAATCTGTTGTAGGTCTTGGATGTTTGAGTGGCCCATGAGCGAGCCTTCCCTGATGATAGTTCTACGTAGGGTTTCCCCTTGGTCTTCCACGAAATCTTTTCCCCTGTGGTGTCCAAATGAGGGCTTGGTAAGGAAGTCTTGATTTATCCATTCTAAGGACGTGGCCGACATAGTTCCAGCGGCGTTTTCGTATAAAATTAGACACATACTATTGCCTGGATTCTTGCCTTATTTGTGTATTGGTTCGGAAATCTGACCATTTGAAATTTAGTATTCTTCTAAGGCATTTATTTTCAAAACTGTCTAATTTTGTGTCTAGAGTTTTCGTTGATTTCTAGCTCTCGCATCCATAGGTTAGTTCTGGAATCACACAAGAATTGAAGATCTTGAGTTTTGTGTGTTTGCTAAGTGTCTTTGATTTCCAGATGTTGGACAGTTTATTGAAGGCACTAGATGCCAGTGCTATTCTAAATGGTATTTCTGCTGCGGTATCTCCTGTAGATGACATTTTGCTCCCTAGATAAGTGAAACTTTTGACTTTTTCAAGGCTGTTGTTATTCTGCGTGATATCAACTGAACTGTTGGTAAGGTCTAGAATTTTTGTTTTTGCGGTGTTAATTTGGAGTCCAATTTGTTCTGAGAAATTCTGGAGTCGATTGATTTTTTCTTGGGCGTCTGTGTGTTCTGAACTCAGGAGTGCTATGTCGTCGGCGAAGTCTAGGTCTTCCAGAATTTTGTCAACCAATGTAATGCCTAAATTTGCGTTATTTATGCACTTACGCATGACCCAGTGTCAAGGACCTGATATTTATATTATTGAACTAGGGCTCGCTGTACGGCCCTGTGACAGACAAACTATACCAAAACACACTCAACACATACACATATGGACAGTCCCTTATCCGAAATTCTCGGGCAGTGGTGGCAGTTATATTTACCTATCCACCCCGGGCCATTCCCATGGATATACCAGAGGACACGATTCCACCTCCTGTAGTGCAGCGCTAACTAGGCTACGATCTTCGCCATGCGAGACTCAGTGGCACACGCAGGGTGAGTGGTTCAAGCATTAGCGGACAATGTCAACGACAGCACAAAACGCAGATAACCCCCAAAAATCCAGGGACAAGAACACCTACCTAAACATGGTACAGTGGCGCGGTGATTTATGTCACAGGCGTGAGGGGAAGTTAAGTCCAACATGATGTGTATAAGGAGATACTCCGTACGTCACTCGGGCGCCAGTCCTTAACTATCCTGGTTGTACGGAACCTCACGCAAGACCCCTACAGCACGTCCTCGTCGTGCGCCACGGATAATGTCTCAAATGAGC